GAATTTGGCTCCCCATATGTGTTATCTATCCTCGCAGGTATTGAACCCAATTTAGAGGGGTCTTATGACTGACAACGCAGTTGCCTACCAACTTGTCATCCAAGGGCGCATATATATATATATGATGGGTCTTTTTTTTGCTCTGTTAGGGTTTCCGCTTATGGCCAATCCTAGCGTCTGGTTTTTTTTCACTCATTTTGATCTTCTTTTCCTCTGGTTGGCGAAGGAGCTTGTGTCCTACGACTGTTTGTTGTGTCTTCTACGGAGGAGATTGCATCATCTGCGGCTCGCATCTGCATCGGTTTGACCTGTAGGTTTTGCTGCTTCGCGCTTGCTTGTTTCCTACGCTGCTCAATGGTTTCGTTGTTTCTTCTTGACTATTCTGCTTGTTCCTCCTGTTATGCTCGCAAAGGAGCTTGTGGCCTGCGACTGTTTGCTGTGTCTTCTACGGAGGAGATTGCGTCATCTGCAGCTCGCATCTGCATCAGTTTGACCTGTAGGTTTTGCTGCTTCGCACTTGCTCGTTTCCTACGCCGCTCAATGGTTTCGTTGTTTCTGCTTGACTATTCTGCTTGTTCCTCCTGTTATGCTCGCTCAATTGTTCTGCTTGAACCTGGTTGGCAGCAGTCTGCAGCTGCGCCAACCAGTTTATTTACTGCAGTGCTTGTGTGAAGCATGCTAATGGCCTCTGGGCTTTCTTATGCTGCCACCCTCACTGGTGATAACCCCGCTTAACTCTTCGTTACTACATTGGTTCACAAACACAACTCTCCTTTCCACCTCGCAGATAGTCCAATATTCCAGCTGATGTACCATGATTCTGTTGAAAGACATGGAGATTTCAATCTCATCAAAAAATTAGAGAAAAAGGTGGCGGGCAAACCAACACTATTCTTCTCTGATGCTGAAATTTAGGCGGGCTAACCAACACTATTCTTTTCTGATGCTGAAATTTCAACTCATGCAGGAAAATAGAAATTTACACCAGTTGGAAAGTTCCAATTAGGTTGCCCTAAGATGGAGACTATCAGGAAGGTTTTTGAGGATTTCAAACTAGTTGAGGCTTGGCAGGTGGGTCTTTTCGACGGAAGATATGTTATGATACAACTGAGCATAGAAGAAGATTACACAATGATTTTCTCAAATGAATTCATCACAATTGAGGGCAATCATAAGAAATTGCTCAAATGCACCCCTGATTTTGATCCCAGTCAAGAACCTCCAATTGTGTCTATCTGGTTCTCATTACCTGAACTCAAGCTACATTTCTTTGATCTACCTACCTTATATGCAATTGGGACTATTCTCGAAAAACCTTTGTAGGTAGACATACCTACAGTTCATTTCTCAAGGCCCTCTATTGCAAAGATTTTGATTGAAAGGGATATTACACCACCAGATGTAAAAGAAGTCTGGCTTGGCTCTGCTCATAATGGTTATTGGAAAAAAATCATTATGGAACAAAAACCTTACTGTTGCAAGCACTACAAGATGTTTGGACACCCGCAAGAGAAATGTTTCAGGTTACACCTACAGTTGAGAACCAATGGTTAAATGCAGGAACTTGATGTTAGTGCATCTGAATGCTCTCCCAGCAAACCTGATAACAGCCAACCTGAGGAGGGAATCACCACAAGACAGGAGTTGGTGTCTGCCTCCTGGGAACCATCCTCCTGACCATATTATAAGGGATAATGTTCGAACCAGAAATTAGGATAGCCCCATAACTCCTATTCAGAAAGCATCAGGTGCGAATGAGACAATTGCGAAGGTGATAATTCACACTTCACATACACTGGAATGTATCGTTGTGGCAAAGACTTCCTTTTCTTCTAATCAGACCGAGAATCGCATGAACCAGCCTTCAGAAGAAGAATGACAAGTTTATACTTCTCGGCGGAAGAAGAAGGCTTGGGGCACACTCCAACATGAAAACTTAATGAATGATACTTTGGTTACTCCTGACAATGGCACGACACTTCAAAGTTTATTATCTGGTTCCGCTTCTAGAAATAGAGGAAGAGGCGGGACTAAACTGGCTCGTCCCTAGCTACTTGTTTTCTGCCTGTTTTAATTTTTTTTTTAGTATATATGTATCTTTTGGTTGAGGTATTGTTGTACTTGGTATCGTAAGAGTAGAGTGCCTCTATTGTGCCTTCTCATATAACATTTATGTATCTTTTTTATTTCAATAAAATCAGTCCTTGTGTTTTTCATAATATATATATATACATGTATGTATATGTTGTTAAGTGAATCCTTTAAAGAATATGATTAAAGGACTAGGAAACTAAAATTTTATGATATTTATTAATTTTTTCTCTCCATCTCACATGTTCAATGTTTATTGGTTTCTAGATTTAACGCATCTCATTTTTCTTCTAGACTTGCATTTTTTTTATTTTATTCTATACATAACAAGTTTGATTTTTCATAAAATACTTCCAAGAAAATTACATAATACCTTCAAATTTCTTGAACTTCGAGTTTTTCATTTTCCTTCCAATAATGCATGTGCATTATTTTTTTCCTTCTATACAAAAACGTTAGATTTGTCATAAAATATTTCCAAATAATTAAAATACATAAGTCCTTTATTTCTTGAGCATTGAATCATATTTTAATCAAAACTTGAAATTAAGCTCTTATTAATTATAATCTAAATGCATAATGATATTATAACATTTTGTTATGTTCCCTATCTTACAAGTACTAAACTTAATTGATGTGCATGTTGATAAAAATTCATATTGCATGGACGAGGGTCCTCTCATAATGTAGATGTTGAATTATATATATATATATTACATTGTAAATTGTTTTGATATGTCAACTAGTTGAATCTTGAGAGGTGTCAAATAATCCTTTCCCCCTCTATTAGTCAACTAATTGAATCTTGAGTCTTGATATCCAATTTTTAGTGAATAACCCCAATATTTTTGCATCACCATTTTGCATCATCCGACCATCTCATTACTTTTCCAAACTATGATGCTCTGTTTTGACTAATACTTGAATTTGAAAAATTTCTTATAAAATGCATCGATATTTGTGCTTCATCATAAAAATTTGTTGATGGGAGATCATCAAGGCATAATATAATATTGTATGATTGTGTTCCTTAGACTCAAATCCAATCTAAGATAACTCTTGAATAAATTTAGAGTTCTAACGCTTACTAAAATTTCACATTCCTAACCCATTATAATCAATTTTAGCGCGTGGCATTAGGAGGGAATACTAGTCAAAATGCAGAAAAATTTAATGGCATGTGTTCTCAAAATCTTTGCACATTTCCACTAGGTTGATCCCAAGCGAAGTGATGTGAACCATATGGGTTTTTATCACTTTATTTTTCACAAAATCCAATCTGATTCTTTTGAATTAAAAAGATTTAGTCTAATGCTCCCCTTTGAGATCAATTATGCGCGCACACACACACACACACACAAATTTGCATACACATACTCCCCTTTGAGATCTACCTTTCTAATAAATCTTCTCCCCAAGTTTTATATTGCACTATTATAGCTCATAAAATAGGGATGTGAACCATATGGGTTCTTATCACTTTATTTTTCACAAAATCAAATAAGATTCTTTTGAATTAAAAAGATTATGTACTACTATTATAGTCTATCTCTTATGCACACACACAAAAATTTGCATACACGTAATCCCCTATGAGATCTACCGTTCTAACAAATCTTCTCCCTAGATCTACATTGCACCATTATAACTAATAAAATACACACACACACATATATATATATATATACACGATGTTTATGCACACGATAAATTTGAATCTACAATAAATTTGAATCTACAAAATTCATAATTTTTTGAACAATTGGATGACAATTTGATAGAACCATCTCTTTTGTTTTTTTTGTTATATTTATTTTAATTTTTACATTCAACATTGAATTAAAATATATTTGATATGTTAAAAATATATTTAATTGTTTTTTAACAACTTCTAAGTGAATAGAATTATTCTAAAGATAACTTGATGTATTTAAAAGATAAAATAAAAATATATAAAAAGCATACTAAATTTTATTTTGAAAAAAATTGATTCCACATAAACACAATAAAAAAAAAATCACGAGAATTTTAAAGAAAAAAAGATAATCATAATATCATTTAACCACCTTTGACTTGCCAAAATCATTAAACAAAAATGAATTGAACTTAAGATCTTCATACGTTTTTTAATAATAATTAATCAAAATAAGGGAAGTTATACATCATCATAACATAATTTAATCACCATTCAAATCCTTAAACACGCTTTGAATTCATCACTAATTTTGCCACAAGCTCGCTCACTTCAAAACAATTAAGGCATTCGAAAAAATATATTTGTGCACCATATTAACGAAAATAAAAATTCAACCGAATCACTTTCATGCTGTTAAAAATTATAGACCGGCTTGAAGAAAGAACAACTACACGGAAAAAATTTGCGTACGTCAAGGGGTACGCATCTCTGCATACATAATAGTGTACACGAGAGTTACATGGGAGTTACAAGCGTGTACACGAGAGTTACATAGGAGTTACAAGCATGTATAATTGTTACAGCGGGGTTACACGGGATTTACACAGGAGGTTACACGGGAGTTACACGGGAGGTACAACAGGTTATACCCCCTTGTAACTCCCGTGTACACTATTATGTACGCAGAGATGCGTACCCCTTGACGTACGCAAATTTTTTCCCAACTACACAATGACCAATAATCAATCAAATCACAATTGAAAATGTACGCAAGACAAAAGGGCACATCCTGAGTAACCAAAACAATAAGCAACAAATCACAGCGTATATGCGCGTTTTGTCCATATCTACCACAACTTTGAAAAATTAATACTAGCCTCAATTACGCAAGACAAGAAGCTTTAGCACCTTTTAGCTTTATAAAAGTAAGAAAAACTATTCTCATTAAATGCTTGTAATCAAGAAGACCATTCAAAGAAATAATTTGGCATAGGCTAAGGATCAAATACTAAAGGTCATTTACAAAATAACAGCTCAAACTGCAGCCCTTTTTTTTTTACTCTGAAGCCAAGTAGCTCAACTTGCCACATAGTAGAAAGAGGAAATCATTGAAAAGAAAAAAAAAAGAATAAATAAAACCATGGCAGGAGCCACATCATATAGCTGCTTGCTTTCTCCTGTCTGAAAATACTAATTTTACAAGCACCATTTTCAATGACAGGGAGTAGCTTTCTTACATAATAAATTGTGAAAGGAGGTGAAAAAAGGGAATATGTATATATATATATATATATGCTCTAAAATACTCACTACATCACAGTGCAATTGCACTTTGAATCTAACTTGGGAGGCTTTGCAGTATCAACCTTTCTAGGAGTTTCTACACTTGAAAAAGTGAATTCATGAGCATTCATATCATTCTGCACTTCATTACAAGGAGATTTGCTCTGAGGTTCCATTCTTCTTGGCTTGAACATGTGGGATCTTGGTGTGTGCTTATAGGACATTCTCCGTGATTCTCTTAGTCCAGTGATGGGCTTTCCCAGGTCGGTCATAGCTGAATCAGAAGCCTGAGTCTCAGATAGCAAGTTTAATTCCTTTTCCATCCCAATTGCAGCAGCCCTGTAGGTTAATTCATGAATAATGGAACTGCAGAACAGTATGGTGTCGGTTGCTTCTTCCAATGTCAAGCTTCTTGACAGATGTCCTCTTCGGCGTTCAATTATTACACATGAATTTTCTGTAAGAAGCAGTGTTATCCACACACTAAATTCACTTTCAATATAAATTAATCAAAAACTATGATTTTGAAAACTGATAACACAGCAATATTTTCTAAAAGAGATAAGAATATCAATGTGGTGTCCTAGTAAAAGGAATAAAAACCAGACCTTTTACTTGTATTGGTAATTCATTGAAATTATTATGAATGTTCACTCTGCAATTTCACAGCATTTTCCAAAATGTTGTGGATGTATCTACTAATTATCAAATTATTCTAGCTCTATCATCGCAGAATCCGCAAGTTTGGAACAATGATGGTAACATCTATTTTACAGTATTTCATCCATGAAGTAGCAAATGTGCTGATTTTAGTGGGCTTTAGCAGCACTCACCATAAACCAGGACTGCAGGTAATAAGCTCTCCAAACTGAAAGCTACCTACCAAAGTCAACAACAATATAGTAGATAATATTCACTTTCTCAAGCATGAAGTGGCTAACTTCACAACGATTTCTCCACGTCAGGAAAAAGATGCAAAGAGGATCCGCTTCAGTTTATGAGGCCTATAGCATTTTTTTCATGGAAAATATCAGGGCAACCTTTTCTTACACACTGTTTCCAACATTCAGGAAGAAACATCATTTCATTGATAATGTTAGCAAATAACAGATAACTTTTAAAAAGTTTGGATTAAAAAAACTGGTATAATATGTAGTCTTGTGTATATAAATATAGGAAGTTATGCCTATGTAATAAATCATTAAGATAATGAACTGAGAACAGAGAATTCATGTGCCCCCACATTTGGAAATTGTTCCAGCCTTCCAGGTTCCTCATTCTTCATCCAACCATCTCCATCCCGCTGAGGTGTGATGTGGTCTAAATTTCTTCTTCCCTCTACCTTACTAGTTCTACTTCAAATTTGTCTCTGGTTAACTCGCCATGTATCAATCCAGTATCAAAGTCTAACTTGGACAATCTGCTCTAACTCTATTCACTCAAATCACATCAAATTTAACATGAGTGCTGGAAGCACCAATCTACACTCTATATGCATCCCACTGTCTCATCCCTCTATAGCTTTGACTTCAACACCTAGTAAATGAAGCACGGCCACTCTCTTACTTCACTTGCTACTTACATGAAGTCCCCATTTCAACTCATGCTCTTGTTAACATATGCTCTTGATTCTGTCAGAATAGACCCTAATCATAACCATCTTCATGAGAATAAAGATTTCTTGTTGTCTCTCCTCTAGAGTCGTGCATTCTTGTAGGATTGCCATTCTTTTTCCTATGCTCCCTAGTAGGCTCTCCTACGACACTAAATTTGTTTTTTGGGTTGCCCCATTATGTATTAAATTAGTATCAAATCCAAGCCTCAACCATATGCTTCAACTCTATCCCAAATCATGACAACTTCGATGCAAATGCAACAAACTACAACTAGCCTCCGCTCACGACATCGATGCTACTGCTTGCAGCCACACGTGCATCTCCTGCTCATTACTTTCCCTCCATTGCATCACCTGCCACACATGCTCATTCGTCAACACACATTGCATCACTCCGCTTCATGATTTCTGGATCGCAAGCAAACCAAGTCCTCATCCAAGCCTCTGCTCATGGCATGCACCTTGCAAGTGTCCTAATCCATCCGCTCTCTCTATGGCTTCAACTTCAACACCAATCACTCCACATCTGACCACTAATCCATCCGCTTCATGATTGCTGCACAACTCATGCTGTTGTAAACAAAGGCTCATGCTCTTATTGACACAAATCATGATCGCAAATCTTTGGGTCCCTAGCCCAGTATTAACTAATCTACAGACCATGTTGCATGCTATTCAAACATGTCCCAAAAACTCACATTCTTGAATCATTGGAGGCGGACGTTCGCGCATCTTGCTTTTCATATGAAATATTTTATCTTACGCCTAATGAAACCCATATTTCCTAAAACACACCCAACCGCCTTTGTAACCCACAACCCATGGACCCAAATAAAAGATGACAGCTTCACTCCAGTAGCTAGCAGTCAAGTCAGTTCGGAGTTCAGTTCCTCAAGATTTTTCCAAATGTCTTTTCAGAAATTGATAGTGTTCTTGATGATCTATGAGGACTCTCCTGCTGACATTCTGGACAAAGGTGATGCTCGTTCGCTTCATCTCATTACGGGATAGTTTTCCTATTAGTCACCATCGTCTTTGAGATGAATTTCTTATTCATCACATCTCTTGGGATGGACTTTGCCAACTCCATAATACAGTCAATAAACTTTAGCTTTCTTAGGCCTTCAATAGCATTTCAACCGTCCAGAGTAAGTTCATTCTTTGGCCTGGACAATTGAATCAGCAAAACAAAGTAAATCAGACTTTTTTAGCAATTTTATGGTTTATTTTATTTTGCATTAGGAGTTTGATTAGGGTTATTTTATGTTAAATTATCCTTTTGGGTCATCTTTAGGCAGCTTGGATAAGGATAGAATTGATTTATTTGTGAATGCACTAATGCATGTAGCTAAGATAGGTATATGAACACACACACACACACAGATATATATATATATATAATATAAAATGTTGATCGTCCCCCATAGTCTGACCGAGGGGCGGACCCCCCTAGGTATCGAACCCACGACCCGAGGGAATTACACCAGAGGCCGCAACCAATGAGTCAGGCTAACGCGCGCACACACACATAACCACCCGACATACAACACACACGTAGGAAATACATGTATACCCAAAAAACCAAGATTAAAATGTAGACATAGAAACTGTAAGCCAAAAGTCTGTCAACACTTGCAGAATCAATTAGTTCGCGAATGATCCAATTTAGCCAGGCCTCTGCCACTAGTTCTAGGACGGGAGCCAGCTAACAAATTGTTAAGTTTACTGACATTACCCGAAACAACTAATATATCATCCATCAAGTTTGGTAACAGACCTCCATTCTTTTTCTTCTTCTTAAATGTATAAACATGTCATTCCTCATCTGAAGATTGACTCATCAAATCAGTGGATTGGTCCAAAGATTGTCGGATAAGAGTAGGTTGTTGCACATCATAAGCCTCATATGCCTGACTAACAGTAACAACTTGCTCGATCTTATAGAGCGGTAGCAACACAGTAGAAATATTATCACCCGTTACATCAATGATCGGTTCTAGGGCAGGAGAAACATGAAATGTCTCCCTGCCCCCACGAACAAAGGTTCCATAGGAGGAATCGAGGGACCTAAATCATGAGCATTGTGTGGAGGCTGAATGGTTGACATATTACTCGCGAGGATAGTGACATTTCAAAAGTATCCTTCTAATGATCGATATTGTCAATAACTTGGAGCAGATCAGGAGGGGGAATCTCTGCCTCTGGCTGAGCACTTTGCTTTTTTGGTCTTAGATGAGGGTGTAGATGGTGACATTAAGAAATGAGTGGTCAAACATACGACAATTCGAGCAATACAAAGAGAAAGACTCAATCACAACCATTTGTCAATATCCATGGGGTTGTAAGTCTAACCAAATTTCATCAGAAGCGATTGAAGTGATGTCCCTTTCAACAAGTACATTGGCTTCAAAGTGACTGGAAAGATTAAAAGTAGAAATGTCCATTTTGGGTGACTTACCATAGGCTAAGGTAATAGAGTACAACACTTCTTGAGTAAAATAATAAAACTTTAGGCCAGGGAAGCGAATCCAGACTGAAATGATTTGTCGTTCCGTCTGTGGGTCAAAATCCACCGATCATTTCAAAATCTTCATTGCTCTGTTATCAATCCAGATTAATCTTCTAGCAAATAATCGCGTATAATCCTCTTCATTATTAAGTTAAATAGGAATGTATATTTCCTCTAAAAGTCCAATTTTCTACTCTCCAACAAGATGCGTAAGCTCAAATTCCTTATGAATAAGCTTCATTTTGGGATGATGATAAAAGAATTTCCCCAGCAAATTCAAAGTACAGAATGAAGTAAGTTATTTGCATTCTGCTTCCGTAAAAAAAATGGCTGGCTTCTCATTCTTCCTACCATGTTTCTTAATGTAATCAGCCAACACAAACGAAGAAGGGAAGAAGTATGATTTAGGAGTACCCGAGACGTGGACTCACGCAAGGGCAGCAGCATACGTTCTATCCGAAGCCATCACCAATTGAAGGAGCCGCAGCGTTAGGAACAGTGAAGTTGCAGTGAAAGAAAGAGAAACACCAAAGGAGGATCAGCGGAAAGCCCTTCAAATTCGAGCAGAGGACGAAAGGTGCAAATGTCCTTCAATGAACAACCGAAACGAAAAGGTGCGAACCTTTCTGCTTCGAGCACGAGAAAGGATGAGACGAGTCCGCGCCCATAAATCATCCTTCAAACAACGACGAAGGACGACACAACGAGGCAGACGCAACACGACGAAGCGCTACGAAACAAACGAGCAGGACGACCGAAGATAAAACAGAGAAAATCAAGGCGCGAAACCTTAGAGTGTGACGATGCGAGAAATCACCGTAACAGACGCTACGGTTCCCCATGAGGCGAAACCTTAGCAGAGCCTCCCGCTCCTGCTATCGCCATGAACATATATATTATATATACATATATATGTATATACATATATGTATGTATATACATATATATGTATATATATATGTCAAAAAGCTGCTGAAAAAGGAATCGTATAATTAACTTGTAAAACTGAATAAAACATACTCATTTGAAACATAACTAGATAACTGCTCAAACTACTGAGAAAAAGCGCCTAAAAAATCAGAATTTCAAGCAAAAAATTTAAGAAATTGCAAATCAGCTAATTGATTCAGAAGGTTTAATGATGAATACCATGGCTTCCATGTTCTAGGCCAGCTGTTCTTGGTTCTGAGGCAGACAAGGACAAGTCATTCTCAGATGTTTGGGGGATTGAATGCCCATTGTACTGAACTGAATAAGCTGGGTTATGGGAGAGAATACACTCAGGATGGCACTCCTCAAGCTCACTGCAACCACATGGAAAGTCAACATTCACAATGGAAGAGCTTTGGGTAGCTGCGTCGAAGTTATCATTTTGAGAATTACAGTTCAACACAGTATAATCTTCCTCCATTTCAGAGCATCCATCATTGATATCAGTTCCTCCTATATTTCGGACATTGCTTCCATTGTTTTGAGAGTATTCATCAATATGAATGGATGAAGTGGAATCTTTATTACATATCATTTCTGTAGCTGAAGAGCATGATAAATCATTATCTCCTCGATTGACCAAAATTTGAGAATCAGAGGTAATTATTGTCATGAAACTATTGGTATGTTCGGATATGTAATTATCAGAAATAACTGGCCTTGAAAATGAAGTAGACATGGCATTAAAATTTGTTTGATCGAAAGAAGCAACATGTTCTCTCGGTGTGCCGCATCCAAAAAATTTTGTAGAATTAGTGGTTGTTTGCTTACATTCAGTTTCGAAGCGCTCGGATTCATAGCAATTCATTAGAAGATCACCAGAGTTGCTTGTACTATCAGCATTGCTATCAATATCATCTCTCATATGGACTGTCTCCTCTTCCCTACTCAACGGGAACTGAATGGAATTCACTTTCTGTCTGGATGATCCCAGATCAACAGATGAAGAAGCTGAAGCACTATCTCGCCCAATGCTTCTCCGTAAGGAATTGATATTATCTCTTGAATAAGAAGGCTCGGAACAAAGAATATTTGTAGCAGACACAGCCTTTCCTTGTAAAACGGGCCACTTACTACTGCCAGAGTTATGTGATAGAAGGACTAAAATACCTGTGCCTTCAGGAATATCAACATTTAAACTGGGATGAAAAGTATGATTTGATTGATGGGGAGCACTAATGCTGCAATTCTGAGGAACATGCACATCCCTTTTTCTGTCAAGATACTGATTGGAAAGCTCAGATTCCCTTTGTCCCAACAGCTGGATAGAAGGGTTGTTTTGCATGCAATCATGCCCCATCACGTTACCCACCTTATGAAATTCAGGATCTTCATTGTTGGGTAGTCCTTTCTCAGCTGCATCCACTCCAACTTCCACCAGAAACGCCGCATTTTTAGCCACAGGTGCACAAGTTACAGCATTTCCTGTAGTGCAAATCCCATCTTCTTCAGCACATTCTGGGCATAAATTTATGTTTTCATTCATATCTAAAGCCGTAAACTCTTTATTACACTTACAGCAAACTGTTATCATTATATGGTCATCCATATCACAATTTTTGTCAGTACAGCCTGTTTTGTCAAGAGTCGCATTACTTGTTTCAACACCAATGTGAATCGTGGGATTGTAGGTATCTTCCGAATCAAATTTCTGTAACAAAATTTCACCATAAATGTCATCATGTCTCTGAGGCTTTCTAGAGGGTACCTTATGATCCGTAACTTCAATAATCTCATCCACTTTATCAAATAGAAAAACATCCTCATGGTTTTCAGAATCTTCAGTCCTCTCCCATCGAACTGGTAGTTCGGTTAGTTCAACCTCACTACCTTCCACATCAAGCGCAATGCTAAAAATACCTTGTTCTGAGCTTGCATTGCTACTAGTTGTAAGTGAAGAGTTCCTTGAGAAAATGGGCCGGATAGTGGTCGCAGGGACACTTGACAGAAGTGGCCTGAACATATTCTGAGGTGTTTTGTGCTGATCCTGTGTCGATATAGAAAAGAGGTCATCCAAAGAAAGATCATTATAAAGAAAAAGCAATTATACACAGTACCGATTTATTGAAAAAAAAAAAGAAAACCAGTAAACATTTTTTAAACGTGAGAATAACCAAATTAGCCAGTCTTAAGAAACCAGCTTGCCCACTCATTGCAGTAAAGAGAAATATTTAGTGATGTTCTAATGCAGTTGAGTCTTTCCAAACATCTAATTAAAGTTGAACTTCGATCTCCTAGCTTAGCCTAATCATCAAATCAATCACATTTTATTTCAGTGATAATCTATACCCTCAAAACAAATTGACGTGGGTCTATGGGGGCCGGCCTGTTCTCAGTCCAACCAAGCTGGACCAACCGGTCCTCAAGAGGGCTGCCGCCCAAGGGCCCCCTTGCTTTCCCTTTTTCTCCTATTCCCTCTTTCTTTAACCGTCTTTCCTACTTAGCACTTTCCAATTCTGAATTTCTGTTGTTTTTATTAGTATTTGCCCACTGTGAATTCTTCCTATTATAAACACTGTCTAAATTATGATTTCTTATTATTTTTATTCTCATCCTTATCTTGAAACATTTCCTAAAATAAATCCTAAGCCTCATTATTAATAAGAGGTGGTATGCTATGAGTTTCTCAATTTTTGGAGTTAGGTGATTTCTGAATTCAGATTATAGCAGTCGATGTTGTTCCCTTCAAGGATTGTATCTGAAGGCAAAGAAGTGCTCCGATTATCCCTTGTCCTAGGTGGTCACTGTTTCCAAATGTCCGAGTGGTGCTCCAGCTGTAGCTCGACCCCGAATAAGACATTTATGTTACCATACTTTTATTTCCCTGCTGCCGTTACAAAATCCAGCCACCACTTCCACTGCTGTCAGCCACCTTACAGCTCCTCCCTGCCCCTGACCGACCCTCTCAGGAGCCTGCCAGCCTTGCTACCCCCTTCAGTTCCTCTCCAGCAGTTTGTCGGTCCTCTCCAACAACTTTAGGTCACCTATCCAACTCCCAGCAGTCACCAGCCTTCTTGGCCTTTTTCCGCAGTCGCCAACACCGATGTTCCATCCTCGCTCTATCGTACCTATCGCAGAGGGTTGTTTCCACTTTATATTATCGCCTTTCCTTAATTTCAACAATCTTCATTGTCGTTTACTGTTTACCTGTGGTATGTCAATTTCTGTTGAAGAGCCGTTATTGTAATCTCGTGTCGTCCCGTAATAATAGTTGCAATTTGGAGTCATGATTTAGGTTAATCCTAGTCTCATCCTAGTGGTTTCCCAGCATCCGCCCCTACCCCAGCCACCACAACAAAAAAAATTTTTTTCCTCTTTTCTCGAATTGTCATTCTTCTCTTTCATTTCCGTTTTCTTTTTTTCTTTTCTTCCACAGATTCTAAACCGTCAATCATGTCGTCAAGAAGAAATACGCCCAAACCTACCCGGAAAAAGATACGACAAGACTCTGACGCTTCCAACAGAGATCTACAGAGCTTGAAGAGATCACATAATAAGCTACCTTCGATCGAGAGCCGGAGAATCAAAGGGGAGAAAGAGAAGAGGATCTAAATCCCATCCATATGAATAATTTCAATGATAAAGAAAACAGGTCACGACATTTCGGAATCCAGTATCACAAAAAACCTAGAGGGATAGCCTAGATCCCTCCCACATGGAAACTTTTCGAGAAGAGATGTCATTTGATGGACACCGACACCACAGAATCAAGGTAGATTTGCCCGAGTTTGAGGGGGCATAGATCCAATTGAATTCATTGAATGGCTACTGGAAATTGAGTCAAATTAGATGCAGTCAAATTGAATACAAAGAGATACCCGAAGAGAGGCGGGTCAAATTAGATGCAGTCAAATTGAAGAAAAGTGTCTCCCCATGGTGGGAGAAAGTACAACAATAAAGGAGGAGAGAAGGAAGCGATTAGATTACTAGGGGGGAGAAGATGAAGAAAAACAAGTAGAAATATCTTCCCTCTCAATACCGCCAGGACGCTTCAGAAACTCCACAATCTGCAGCAGATGGACCTTCCAGTGGAGGAGTTCACAGTTCAATTCGACAACTTACAGCTGAAATATGATCTAAAAGAGCCAGAGGAGAATACAGTAGCCAGATATCTTGGAGAATTGAAGCCTGGTATTAGCAATGTGTTGCGGCTACAGCAGTACTGGACGCTTGGGGATGTCTAGACACTAGCATTAAAGGTGGAAATGCAGTAGAAGCAAAGCCGACAGCCACCACCAGTCAGGCAGCCACCCAAAATTGGAGACACCAGCAAGAGCACGCCGCAGGAAGTTGAGAAAATTGGTTCTGAAACGGATAAAGTGAGAAGAAATCGACAACAGTACCTGCCATAAAATGCTTTAAATGCCACGGAGGGCACATTAACCTCCAGCTACCCGACGAGTCGAGTTGCATATTTTACGGAGAAAGACGTCGTGCAAGAGGCAGGAGAGGAGCAGAGAGGTGAGGACCAGAGTGAGATACATCATCTTCCCCGAGATGAAGGAGAGAGTCGTTATTCGAAGGGTCCTACATACCGATATCGATAGAAGGGATTTGTTGTGGCATAGCCAAAGTATTTTCTACACCCGGTGCACCGTAAACAAGAAGGTATGTCATCTCATCATCGACGGAGGAAGCAGTAAGAAAGTGACATCACGACTTAGAGACATTCTCAACCATATTCACTGGCGTGGATAAAGAAAGAAATAGGGTAAGCATCGACCGACAATGCCTAGTGGAGTTTTCAATAAAGATTTAGCTGCAAGACCATGTATGGTGTGACATAGTCCCCAAGGATGCCTGCTGCCTGTTATGAAGAACGTGGCAGTTTGGCTGGAAGACTCAGCATGATGGATTCAGAAACACATATTCATTCACCAAGGAAGGCAAACACATCATTCTATTTCCTCCGGTAGAGCTCGAGGACACAGGAGCCCTTAGCAGCAGAAAAGCGAGACCAGTTTTAGTGACAACAGATTCTTTACCACCATCCACCATATGAGAAATTTCAACCCCAGGAGATCGGACCGAGGTTGAGGTACGTTCGCAAGTGCTTTGGGAAACAGTAGAGTCGACAATGGGACCCAGGTGTTGTCACAGTTAAAGACAGGGAATCGGAAGCTTCGACAAACGAGGTCAAAACTCCCCCAACCACGAGAGACTAGTGTGCGGCAATGTGGGCCAGCTTGTTCTCGATCGAGCCTGGCTAGACTGGCTAGTCCTCAAGTGGGGCTGCCATCCATGCTCCCCCATTCTTTCCTTTTCCTCCTATTCCCTCTTTCCTCTTCCCATCTTTCCTTCCTAGCACTTACCAATTTTGAATTTCTATTATTTTTAGTAGTCTTTGCCTATTATGAATTCTTCCTATTATAAAAATTACCTAAATTATGAATACTTATTGTTTATATTATCTTTCTTATTTTAAAACATTGCCAAAAAAAAATCATAAACCTCATTATAAATAAGAAGTTATATGTTGGAGTTTCTCTGTTTTTTTGAGTTAAATGATTTTTGAATTCAGATTATCATCGCTAGTATTGTTTCCTTCAAGGGTTGTATCCGAATGCGAAAAAGAGCTCCGGCTGTCCCTTGTCCTAGGTGGTGACTGTCTTCAAGGGTCCGAGTGGTGCTCCCGTTGTATCTTGACCCTGACAAGGCATTTATCTTCCCATACTTTTGTTTACCTGCTGTCATTTCAGAATCCAACCACCACAGCCTTCTCTTCCATTGCTGCCAACCACCTTCCAGTTGCTCCCTGCCCCTGGTCGACCATTCCAGCAACCCGCTAGCCTTGCTACCTTCCCGGTTCCTCTCCAGCAAGCAGTTGGACCTCTCCAACACCCTCAGGCCACATGTTCGACTCCTCCAGCAGGCCCCAGCCTTCCTGGCCTTTTCTCGCGGCTGCCAACACCACTGTTCCATCTTCACCCTATCGTACCCATCGCAGAGGGCTGTTTTTGTTTTATGTTATTGCCTTCTCCTTAATTTCATTAGTCTGGATTGTCGTTTATTGTTTACCTGTGCTATGTTATTTCCGGATTGTCGTTTACTGTTTACCTGTGCTATGTTATTTCCTGTTCAAGAGTCATCATTATAACCTTATGGCGTCCCATAATAATAGTTGTAATTTTGAGTCGAAGTTTGGGTTTTCCTCGAGTATCACCAATGCCATTGAATATATAATCAATTGACGCGGAGCGGGATGTGCTGCTATGAACGAACATGATGCATTGAGTCCCATGACAGAAGTAGCACCTGATTCGTACTAGGTTTTTTGATGCCCTGGAGTCGGCTGGTCCTCTTGAGCCACTCTAGCTATCCTATTATTATATATTTATTTTTCTAGTGTTTTAGGTTTAGTTTTGCACGAGTTTGTTAAGAATAGTCGGCGACATCCGTTTTCCCCCTTCGAGGGTTGTATCTGAGGAATTAGGTGGTGCTTCTGTTGTATCTCTCTCTTGAGATGGTGATTATCTTCCCCTATCGACTTTCACATCCTCCCACATTGCTCCCAACCGCCCCTTCTCCACTGCAGCCGCCCGAAACAGCCTTTTTTTGCTGTTTTCTGCAGTTCTTGTTTTCTAGCAGCCTTCCCCGTCCCTTAGCTGCTGTTTTACCTGCCCAAATTCATTTCTCTTGCAGCCTCGCTGCTGTTCCGCCCACGAGGAACTCCCATTAGCAGCCTTGGCTGTCATTCCAGCCATTCCAAACCACTTACCTGCCATCTAGCCACTGTCCCGGCCCATCCCACTTGCTGCCATCGCTGTTCCAATCCACCATACATGCCGTCATCCCTGATTCAGCCATATATCTTTGCTGCCGCCGCTGTTCCAACCCTCCCCCTTTGCTGTTGCTGTTGTTCAAGCCCTCCCCATCACCCCGAACAGCCGTTTCGCGTCAATATCTATTGTGTGCTTGCTATCCAGAACCAGGGAAACTGTGTGGTGTTTTCTGCTTGCCAACCACCTCATCCTTAGCCCATTACCT